GCCTAGGCTGCAGCCTTCCCGGACCTATCTGCACCAGGAGGTTGCCAATCTCCTGGCCCACGCCCAGCACGAGGAGCTCGGTCCGCGGGCGCCATGATGGACATCATGGAACAACATCTCGTTCCAGCGGTGCTTTCCCCCGACAGCAAGCGCCATGATGTTGTGCAGCTTTGGCCAGGTCCGAGCAGGGTCATTCTCCAAAAACTTGTTCCAAGGAAGCGAGTGGGTAAAGTTGGTGATGAACATCCAGGCGAGGGAGAAGCCTACACGTGCCGCACACGTCACTGGAAGAACGAATCGCCAACCTTGGCTCAATGGCCTGCCCAACGGCCACGTTCCCAGAAGCCAAACACAGGCCCACAGCCCAAGGACCACAGCATTGTGCTTCACACGTCGAGGCATCCATTTTGTCCAGAATTCCTTGTTGCATTTCCCGCTAGCATCAGCTTCTGGGAAACTCATCCACCACTCAAGGGCAAAGAGGAAGCCCGTGTCATTGAGTCCGAAGAAGTGAATCACCGGGATCCAGGGGACAGTCAACAAGTACTTGTACCAGTTTGGCCCCATGGGTCCTGCCCACTGCTGCAATGCATAGTGGAACTCTTCGGGGTCCCAGCCGAACTCCCCCTGGATGAGCAAGTCCACAGTGCTTGCATGATGACGGGCATGTTCCAGGACGAACTCTTCCCACGGTAAGGATATGAAGTCGCTGAAAGGATGCGTGATAAACCTGCGGCTTCTTACTGTGTGAGAGATGCCATGATGATCTTGAGTTTACCGACGCTAGCCCAGATGTTTAGCTGAGAAAATGCACCGGCATACGCAGGAAATCATGCTGAAAGTGAAGCTGCGCCGCTTCTGGAACTCGTAAACAGGAAATGTCACACCGTGCATTACCTGGAGGAGGCATAGTTCGGAAGCTCAGGGCAAAGAAGAAAGCTGAGCATGGGCAAGGAGTGCAGCTAGTTGTGGCGGGACGGGAAAGACATGATTGAAATGCGGCAGAATTCATGATCCTCAAATCTATCTTGTCTTCAATCGCATGAGTGTCGCGCATCTCTCGAACTGAGTTCTGTGGGAGCTCCTTGCAGGGCTAGGGCTGTCACAGGCACTTTGTCTTTCACACTCTTATGCACCAATCAATACACATAATTAATCCCCCAACAGTGTGGTACCGACAGGCAATGGGGTTCGTGACGTCGAACATTGGCTGTTGCTCCGACGAGGCGCGCGCGCGAGCGGGCGTGACTCCCTTTATGCAGTGGGGTGCCAAGATTGCGCCCAGGGTCTCATTAAATGCTCACGTTCACGCGTCCCGGCAGAAGCTCGATTCATTGTAATTCCAATACGTTGGTCCGATCTGGCTGTGGTGTCCGGTGGGTCTTCTGGCGGTCTGCCGGTGGTTGCCTGGCAGTCTCCTGTTGGTCTGTTGGTGGTGGTCTCCATGGTGCTCGTGGTCGCACAGTGATTTCCTGGTGTTCTATGATCACTTGCATGGCAGTCTCTTGGTGGTCGTGGTCGTCCTTGTCACCCTGGTGCATTGACCGTGGTGGTCGTCCAGGTCCCCTGGCTCCCCTGGGCCCCTGGGCGCACATGCACCTGCGCGCGTTGCGCGGGGCGTTTTAGAGATGCATTTGCTATATGGTCCTTCACAGCTTGGGAATCTATGCCTGCATACTTACTCTCTAAATAGATATATGCAGACAACCAAACAGATCAAACAGACTAAAAGACAAACAAACAAATAGATAGAAGCAGACAAACAATCAAACAGAGAGTTTGATTGTCATTGATGGATCGGCAGACTGGTAGATCGACGGATCGAGAGATCACATATACACTGATGTACAGGTACTTTTGCAACTCTGAACTTCGTCCCTCCTGACACTGTTGCGGTCCGAGGTGCATCGTGGTCGATGTAGATCTGCTGAATGCAGATATATGCGAAGGGTACGGCGAAACAAAGCGTGCAAGTCCAGAAGCTCTCCGGGAAGGTTGCGAGAGCGGCGCAGTATGTAATAATCATCAAACACTGCAAGCAGAAGATGAAGGTAAGAACCTCGTCACGACCAATAAGGGAATCAAAGTACACAAACGTTTTACGCAACTTCTGGCAGATTCTGGCAGCTCGTCAAGCTGTCCCACTGAGTTTTGAGAAGGATTGAAACAAATATCGAACCGAAGAAGACAATCAGACGCACATGTTCGCGGCTTATGTGCAAGGAGTAATGCCAACATGAACAATGTCACACCCAAAACGATGACATCGGATTGGCGACCATCTAAGAAGCACAGAGTTTGTCCAAAAGGCGTTCCACATATAAATCATCTGCTCAGGCGTGATTTTTGTGAACAAGAAAGCCAGCTCCAGGGGCATCGGGTCCGGCTTGTTCCTTGGCCGCCACTATTGGAGTGGTCAGCATGCACCCACATTCCTGCCTGTTGATCGTTACTGCACTGCTCCGCCACAACCATAACCACCAGAAACAACAACCACCACAACAGCGATGCAGCAGCAGCAGCAGCAGCAACAACAACAACAACAACAAGAACAACAACAAAAGCAACAACGACAACAGCAACAACAACAACAACAATAACAATAACAGGAACAAGAACACGAACAAGAACAACGACAACACCAACAACAACACCACCAACAACAACAACAACAACAACGACAACGACAACGACAACGACAACGACGACGACGACGACGACCACAACAACAACAACAACAACATCAACAACACCAACAACAACAACAACAACAACCACCACAACCACAACCACAACGACAACGGCAAGGGCAACGGCAACGGCAACGGCAGCAGCAGCAGCAGCAGCAGCAGCAGCAGCAGCAGCAGCACCGCCACCGCCACCACCACCACCACCACCACCAACAACAACAACAACAGCAGCAGCAACAAAAGATACAGCGACAGCGACGACCACAACCACAACCACTACCACAACGACCGCGACAACCACCACTACAACACCAAGACCAAGACCAGGACCAAGACCCAGAACAGTACCAATAACGAAAACAATAACATGAGCACGAACAAATACAACAAGCACAACTACAAAACAAACACTAACACTGCCACCACCGCCACCACCACAACAACAACAATCGCAACCACAACGATTACTAAAATCATTGCCACAACAACAACAACAACTACTACTACTACTACTACTACCACTACCACTACTCCTCCTTGCAAAAAAAGCAGAAAACTTGGACCATCTTCGACCTATCCCAGTTTGAGCCAGTCATCGGAGTCGGGAAGAGCCGGCCGGTTTTCAGGCTCCGGTTCTGGTCATTCCTTTGATGCACTTCGAAAGTGGACTGACAGAGCTAGGGTTGAGGGTTGAGGGTTTAGGGCTTCTTCAGTGGGATTTGGACTTTGTCCTTTTTCTCAGAAGCCTAACCGCCAAACCTCAGACCGCTCGGCTGGTAATGCTTCGGGAGGTGGGTCTTCGACGGTTGAGTTCTGTAGCTAGGGCCTTAGGGCCTTTGGGATCGGTACCTGCTGCCCGGTCAAGCGATGAGGGAAGTAGACAAGGGCGAAAACTCCAAACCTTAAACTCCTAAACCCGAAAATGAAGAATGCCAAAATCCGTCCGATCCTGGCGTCTTCTCCACGATCAGCAGCTTGTCAGTGCTGGGCTTGGCGTTAGCCGCATGCGGGTCTCCCTCATCGGGCTGGGCGCTCTTCAGAGTCGCAATCTCCTCGGGTTCGGATTGTTAGACAACGGGGTTGGTCCTCATCAGGTAGGTTGATCTCAAGCCCCTTTACTGAAATATTGCGCTGGGTTTTGCTGTGGCATTCCACCGTTGGGTGGATGGGGTCCATAGTTCGGGGCAGGCTGTCGAAAAAAGTGGCCTCCTCCGAACATGGTCCCAGCAGGGAAAAGCCCATGTGCTGATGGTGGCTGTTGACTGCCATACAACACTCCCAACAGGTCCAATTAAAGCCTATCGGAGGCCTATCGTGCACAAGATCTGCAACAAATCAAAACGGGCCAAGTCTCGTGATCGAGCTCGTACTTCTTCTGAAGCCTGCATGGGGGCTTGATTAGGGGCTTGATTATGGGCTTGCTGCCGGGTTGTGGGAACAGGGATTTCGATTTCAGCGCTGCCACGACTACTATCAGTACTCATTTTACCACTGGTACTACTGCATAGTAGTAGTAGTAGTAGTAGCAGTAGTAGTAGTAGTAGTAGTAGTAGAAGTAGTAGTAGTAGTAGTAGTAGTAGTAGTACTACTACTACTACTACTACTAGGACTCGCAGCAGCAGCAGCAGTAG